AACTTAGTATAATGTCAGCTTCAGCAGCCTTTGTATATTCTAAACTAGTCCTTGAAATGCTTCATCCTTCCTTTTGCACATACACTTAATCCATGCATGAATTAGTTTTGTACAAAGCCTATCAGAGGCAGCTAAGTAATTCATTCCTGCCTTTAGTTTTGGATTGCTTCATTGTACTGAGTAATCACAAGACTACAGTGACTGACAGAAAAGAAACTTCATCTGAGTCAGCTGACCAGATTCATTTAGCTGATAAATGTTTCTCAGTATGATTTACCACCGTAGATCATTGGGTGTTGTCCTGGTAAGTATATAAGTCTCAATTCACCCCCTCTTGCATTGTCTGTAGTCATTTACAGCTAAGCACAATGACTTCAAAGTGGGTATAAAATACTACCAGATTAGAATTTTCCACTCAAATACAAATACAAATGGTAACATTTCATATCCCTTTGAGAAAGTGTATACATCTTTACAGTACTAAAAAGCACTGGAGAGTCAGACCCCTGTTGTCCTGTTGAGCAGAGGTTATCAAAAAAACATGTAGTGGTTTGAAAATTGGGAGCATGAGGATTTAAAATAGAAATTTTACCCACAGCTCCCTCAGTTACATGGAAATGGCTATCAGTCTCTGTGACACTAAAGGCAGGGTCTATCTGCTGTTTAATTTTTCCTCTCAATTTATCTTCCAGCTCATTAATCTGTTTCCCAGCAACCTGTCTCCACATTCTATTCTTATGTGCAATTCTTCTTTCAGTTCCTGCTGGGAGGAATCCATCTTTCAAAGCAGTTGAGCTTTAATTTCTTCTTGACTAGCTTGAACTACATCAATCCTCCTCCTCTTTTCCTATTCTACAATCTCATGACTTATTCTTAGATTTGGAAAATGTTGCAGGACTCAGGAAGAGCTGTTCTCTGAATAACTGACACTTTTGTTGGAGAATAAGATGGAAGATGGACTTTCTACTTTCCAGTAGAAGTTTGACAGCTTCCAGACAAACAATACCTCTTTGCGACTAAACTCTTCAGAGAAGGGACTTGCATCTTCATCTGTAAATTACCTGATACAATTAGCTTGCTAGATAAATAATTTTTAAAAGACTCCATCCAAAAGATGGCATATATATGCATCTCCTACCCATCTTTGGGACTATCCTCTTTAACAATGATAGAATTATCTAGACACAGGATTATTTTAACCTATTTCAGTGCAGACATGGGGATTTAAAATCCCCTCTTAGAACAGTTTTCTAGGAATAGCACCACATACTGATGATGGGCATTATTTTCTCTGCTTGCACATCATGTTGTGCTGTGTTGTTTGCTGTGCTGGCTCCGCCTGTGGAATGGAATTTTAACATGACATGCTCCAGATCACCTCTTTCACCATAGGCAGACACAGATAATAAACGGGATGTTCTCATAATGGAAGGCTGCAGGTTGCTTCACAATCAATATGCCCCTACCCAGCACGATTAAGAAATGTGTTTTCGTCCATACCATTTTCCTCTCTATCCGATTATATATCATTTTTCATACTTAGGGATGGCTGGTTGGCTAACCAAGCTAGTCCTATTGCTATCATAATGATTTTAAGGAATGTAGTGCAACTCTTTGTTGCTTCAGTGAAAAATATTGCTAATGCAACATTTTACTGTCTTACTCTTGCATTGCTATTTGTATTGCTTAGGCACTCACATATTTTGCAGTTATTTTCTCATCTGTGCAAAAATGCCACTTAGTTTTCTAGTTGACAATTAGCACAGATACAGGGATGTGTCAACAAAACTAAATATCATTCAACAAGCTAAACATTATTCAAAGAGCAATAGATATGATTAACAGAATATGACCCCTCCCCTTTATTACTGTAGGCTTCTTGAGCCATGAAGTTCATATCTGGACTGATATATTTTATCAGGAGTGACTAAAATCAGAGAAGCAGTGGGGGAAGCTGTGTAGGAGAATGAAGGGCAGACATACCGGACAGAATGCCACTGGGAAATCTCTACAGGGGAAGACAGAATGCATTAGAGAAATCATGAGAGATTTCATATAAAAAGAGGAGGAATGGGAAGTGTTGGCAAAGTTTTACCTTTTTTGCATAACTTTCCATAGCTATACTCAAGCCCTATATGGTACTATCTTTCCCTTGACCTATTTCATCATTACCAAGAGGTTCAAATCAAAGATCAGTGCTCCACTGTGCTAGGTGCTGTACAAATAAATCCTTCATACTGAAAAAGAGATACTCAATACTTATGAGGCAACACTTTATGCAACCCCAAGCAGTTTTGTCGGGAACAATATTTTTGGTACCAAACAACTGATTCAGGTTCCATGCAGGTCAGCTTAATCAGTTATCTCTGTCTAGGATGCCAAGGTGAATCAGGTATGCCAGTCTTAATGCATTTCTATTAATTACCTTTATGCTTCTACTTCAGTTCTTTCAAGTCAACAATATAATTATGTCAGCATTGGATAGAGAGGATTAAGCAATCTGTTGCTGCCAGGTTTGAGGACATATACTATATAGATGACAACAATATCTAGACTGAAGAGTTCAATTTCCCACCTTTAACTAATATTAAATGATTTAATACTTCACTGACCTTGAGAAAGGTTTGCTGCCAGTTTCATTTGGGGATGCTGTTATTATGAATGAACATCTTCTAGGGAATTTCTGCACAAGAAATCCCTCAAGTACCCCTTAAAAGTCACAAGGTTATAATTATAACTAAGATAGATGTTCTGGTTTCTATTCATTTATCACTACTATTCTCTGGAGAAGGTTTCTTTTACTGTCAACAACTAAAAAAGGAACAGACTAGCCAAAGAACTTGGAAGAATGACTGAGTACAAGATTCAGCCGCCTGAAACAATATAGACTCAGCATAGCACACTGAGAAAGAACAAATTTCTTTCACTGCTTGATGGAGTGTCTCTTGCAAACACTATCTTAATTTTTTTTCTTTTCTGCCCGTCTACTTTTTTTTTTTACACTATTTGCTATTCAATATTTTTTTCTGTCACAGCAATTTTACACAATGTTGAATCAACTTCCCCTCATACAGTCTAGAGAGCAGGGCCGGCTCCAGGCACCAGCCCACCAAGCTTGTGCTTGGGGCAGCACCTGGAGGGGGGCGGCACGGTGCAGTGCTCCGGCCGCCGGGGAGAGGGGGCCATGGCCGGGCTCACCGCCCTCCCCCCAGCGCTCTGGCCTCCAGGGAGAGCGGAGCCCCGGCCGGGCGCTCTGGCCGCCGGGGAGAGCGGAGCCCCGGTTGGGCACTCCGCCCTCCTCCCAGGGCTCCAGCTGCCCTCCCGCCCAGCGCCCTCCCCCCGGGCCGCCGGGGAGAGCGGAGCCCCAACCGGGCACTCCGCCCTCCTCCCAGGGCTCCGGCCGCCCTCCCCCCCCGCGCTGGGGGTGTGTGTGTGCGGTCGGCGGCTTTTTTGCCTGGGGCGGCAAAAAAGCCAGAGCCGGCCCTGCCTGTAGTAAGCAGGAGAAATATGCGCACAGCTAAATTCACACAAGTGCGCGCTGACCAACTTACTGAAAATCAAACCCTACATGACTTGACCAAAGTTACATGGAGATTCAGGAGCAGAGCTGGTCATAGAACCTGTCGTGTGCAGACCTTGCCTCTCCTCTGCATTCAGTGCGGTGCCAGATCAGCACTCCCATCATCAGGATAGGAGAATGTTAGTTGTTTCTGCTAATTTGTTATACAGACCTTTTCTATGAACATAAGTGGGTAGTTTTTTTTCTTCCACTTTGATGTCCAAGAGGAAGGTGCAAATCTCACCCAGCCTTCTGAAAAAGTACTCCACAGAACTGGCTTTCAATCAGTCACATTATCTTGGTCTTTAGTTGGGCATTCTAAAATTACACATAGCACTTTATATGTGAAATGATTTTGGCATTTGAGTTCTATGAAGTCAAAATTTCTGTCATATTTAGGGTTACCATACATCTGGGTTTTCCCGGACATGACCCCTTTTTTTGGTAGTCTGTTCTCTATCTGGGTGGATTTTTCAAATAAGAGGAAATGTCTGGGCGCTAGCGGAGCAGATGCTGCAGCTCAGAAAGAGTAGTCTCCATGCCCCAATCGTTCCTTCCCTGCATCCGCAGCTGCTGGATCACATCCACCCCACCCCACCCTGGCCTGCCAGGTAAATGGAGCTGCCAAGTGCCTCTCAGCCGTGCTGCTTGCCGCGCTGCAGGGCCTTAGAGCCTGACCGAGAGAGTGACATGGCCAGGCCAAGGCTCCCTGCCCTGGGATGGGGAGAGGCCCACAGACGTTGACTGATGTGCTGGTGTTGTGTCCCGGTTCTGCACCAGCTGCCCTGCCACTTTGACAGGGAGTGCAACGTTAACCCCCACCTTGAGTGGAGGCCACAGGTACTCCCTCCAGCACTTCCCAGGTACCTCCTCCAGCACCCTCAAATACCCCTCCCAGGACACCCCCACCCCCTAAATACTCCTCCAGCACCCTCCAACTTAACCTACCCTCTAACTCTCCCCGCCCCCTCCTTGGCAGTGTCCTCTATTTGGGAACGTGAAATATGGTAATCCTAGTCATATTAACAGATGTAACTGAAGGAAGAGTTTTGAAGAAACTAACCAAAAGAGAACCATCCCAAACTTTTAATAAATTTTCATAAAAAACTAATGGATAATGAGGGTTATTTTTCTGGAGAGCTGAGAGAGAAAAATATTGGTAGTAATTTTCTTTAAAACTTAAAAACTTAACCACAGAAAATCTAATTTCCCTGTTTTTTCCTAAATGTATTGTAAAACTGGCAGGAATCCTAGCCGATCAGTTTATTGGATTTCAGCAGACTAAAATATAGCAAGTCATTCTAACTTTGCATGTGACTCATCATCACCTTAGGAAACAGGCTTGCACTGAAGTGTAATCCAGTTCATGGGGAAGTGAGTGATCATTCTTGAGAAACAGAAAGCCACGCCCCGCTGTGATTTCACTTCACAGTGTAGCCTTCATAAAGGAAGACTTTAGACTGTATTCTTTTCTACTTTATTTCACAGAGGATGGGCAGAAGCTGCAAGACGTACTGTATGAACTAACCATGGAAACTTCAGTACCAATTGTATTTGTGCAACAGAAGCAAATAGGAGATTATGACAAAACTTTAAAGGTAGGAGAAAAAACAATATGAACAGATCTTTTTAACTTTTTAGATTTGAAGGTAAGAATCAGTACAGATGCAGCCTTCCTTTTAACAGTGTGTAGTTCGGGGGGTTGTTTCAGCCTTGAGTCACAATCACCCTTTTCCGATATTACTGAATGGGAAGCAGGTCCTGGCAGCTAAAACAGAGCAGAGCTCTGAAGGGAGGCTGGGAAGGGGGAGAGGGGAAGGATCTTGATATGGAAAAAGTTGAGAACTACTGATGTAGTAAAGACTCTAAACAGTTTCATAATTTATGTGATGCAAAATGAAACATTCTTTTTTTAAAAAATGTCTAAGCATGACTTACAAAGTATCGTCTCCTCTCCAGATACACTAGACGTAGGTGTTATAGTCTCTTCTTATGATGTGTGCTTCATCAAGGATGCTTTTCTCACTAATTATGTTTGATGGTTATCTGATAGCTATTTTGTGACGGCTGTCTAGCCTCAGACAGGGCTGTCGCCATCAGGCAAATAAAAGGATGTGTTTTGGGGAGGAAGAGAGGTGGAGAGAAACAGCACACTTTCCTTTTAAACTTATTTCTATAAACTTGAACAGTGTGAAACAGTATTTCACTGAGTACAATAAATGCTTCCTTTCTAAGCTGTTCTAACAGAAATAGAACTTGAACCCAGCCATAGGGCAAAGGCCATGTTACAAAAGCGGAAACGAATCCAAAGTTTTAGATGCAATATTCTTTTTTCTGTGGGTTTTGTGTGTGTGGGGTTACATGTTCCCAGCTACTGATGCCACTGATGCTTTCAGGGTTTTGTTTCCATTTTTAAAAAGCAGTCTGTGATTATCTAATGCTTCTGATTTAGCTTTCTACAGCCAAGTCTACACTACTGACTTTTTCCAGCATAGCTATGTTGGTCAGGGGTGTGGATGAGATGTGATCTGTTTCAGAGTAGCAGCCGTGTTAGTCTGTATCCGCAAAAAGAACAGGAGTACTTGTGGCACCTTAGAGACTAATAAATTTGTTAGTTTAAGAGCCGGGCTGCCCAAGAGCTACCGGCTTCGGCCAGCCCCCTTGCCTCCAGACCCCAGCCGCCGGCCGGGCACTTCCCCTCCCGGGTTCCGGCGGCGCAGGGTCTGGAGGCACGGGGGCTG